TTTTTTTTTTTTTGAGACAGAGCCTCAAGCTGTCCCCCTGAGTAGAGAGCTGTGGCATCACAGCTCACAGCAACCTCCACCTCCTGGACTCAGGCATGTCTCCTGCCTCTGCCTCCCAAGTAGCTGGGACTAAGGGCAGCTGCCACAACAAGCTGGCTGTTTTTTTGGTTGTAGCCATCATTGTTGTTTGGTGGGCCTGGGCTGGATTCAAACCTGCCACCTTAAGGTGTATGTGGCTGGTGCCTTAGCCACTTGAGCCAGGAGTATCTGCTTTATTCTTAGTGTTATTCCAAGCTTTAGGGAGGGAGATTGTGGGGTATAGTTTTTCTAAAAGGAAGATCTTTTTCAGCTAAGACCTATAAAGTATTCTATAATGTTAAGGGGTTTTTTTTAGGGCCCACCTTCCTTCCTTTCCTTCAGAAGAAATTAGAGAGCATGCAGATACTTGCAGATATCCAGAGGCCCCCTACCTGGCAAGCTGTCTCCTAGATTGCCTTCTTTTTTTCCTTGGGAAGGAGGGAGACAGGGAGGAGGAGAGAAAGAGAGAGACACTAAGAGACTGAGAGACTTGCTCTGTTACCCCAGCCCCCCCAAGTAGGTGGGATTATAGGTGGTTGCCATGAAGCCTAGTTGATTTTCCTAATTTTAGTAGGGATGAAGTCTTGCTCTTGCTCACACTGGTCTCGGACTCCTGAGATCAAGCAATCCTTGGCATCCCAGGGTGCTAAGATTTCAGGTATTGACCATCAAACCCAGCCAATTATCTTTCTGTAAACTTGCTCAGGTCTTGCCTATCTTTTTTTAAAAAAGTAATCTTTCTTAGACCCACAGCCACACTTTTTGCTCTATTTGGTTACCTCCCATTCTTTTTTCAACCCATTCCAATCTGACTTGGATACTTTTCAGTTTGGTCTTGACCTCATAGCTATATTTGACATAATCACTTCCTCCCTGAAGATTTTTTCTTTGATTTGCATGGATACTGTAGTCTGATTTTTTTTTTCATTAAATGACTCTGACTCCTTCTCGCACTTCATTAGCAGTTCTCCAAGAGTGGTCTGTGGAGTCTCCAAGATCATTTGGGGTGGTCCATGAGGTCAAAAATGTTTTCAAAATAAGATGGTATTTGTCTTTTTTACACTGTTGACATTTGCATTTGATTATTGCTCCTTGTCCTTCAAACTTCTTTTGGTTTCTTGAGTGCTATAACCTTCCTATTCCCAGTGTCCAGACTACTTTCTCACGCTAGACTTCCCTCCCCGTTCATGACTAATATTGAAAGGAATGACATCCAGCTAGGTGCTACATTATTCCTCAGTTGTTAAATAGCCTTTAATGTTAAACATTCCTGCTCCAGGAGTATTTCTCTGACTTTATTCTACTCTCCCCTAGAGGAAGGTTCTCCTCTTACATGTGCTCATTGCAGTTTTCATAGCATTGAGTTGCAGGAGTTAGAATTCTAGCCACTTAATTGTCTAGTATCTCCCCACTATTACTTGAGCTCCCCTACAGCAGAGAGTGAATCTGTCTTGGTCATCATCCTAGCCATACCTTTATATTCAATAAACATTCGTCAAATGAAAGAATGATTGAAAAGCTGTTGCAGACCAGGCACAGTGCCTCTTGCTTGTAAACCTAGCACTTTGGGAGACCAAGGCAAGGAGGATCACTTGAGGCCAAAAGTTCAAGACTAGCCTGAGCATCATAGCAAGACCCCAGAGTTTGAATTAGCCAGGCATGGTGGTACATTTCCATAGTCCCAGCTACTTGGGAGGCTGAGGCAGGAGGGTTGCGTGAACCCAGGAGTTTGAAGTTGTAGTAAGCTGTGATCGTGCCATTGTATCCCAGCCCAGACAGCAGAGCAAGAGCTTTTCTCCCTGAAAAAAGAAAGGAAAAAGAAGGTCTGAACTGATGATTGGGGTTTGAATTTTAATTTAATTTTGTCATTACTAACTTTCATACTTTTTAAGATTCTACTTTCCTTTTCTGCAGAAAGGCATTAGTGTTGAAATAGAGTCTCAATCAATATTTGCCAAAGTGGACGCTTAACTTTTAAGAAGTTCACTCAGCAGCATTTGAGTGGCTAATGTAGTAGTGCTGTACATAATTACTGTGCTAGGCTCTGGAACACAGCAAATCCTAAGACAGAATTTTCATTTTCATGGACTTTATACTAGTGGATTTATACATGATGATACTTTAATGTCCCACTCAAAGTATAAAATGACATGAAGTGATGCATACTAGATATAATAATTCGAAAGTTAACTATACAGTGGCTTCTATGAAGGAGCTTAGAAGTGTCTGTTTACTTTTAATTCATGTAGTTGAAATATTTTTTTGTTTGTTTTTTAGTCCAAGCCTTATGCATTTGATCGGGTTTTCCAGTCGAACACTTCTCAAGAGCAAGTGTATAATGACTGTGCAAAGAAGATTGTTAAAGGTAAATATACTTAACCTGCTGAGTTATCCCAGTAATAAGTACAATTTTGTTTGTGGTCTTCCTACTCATTCAATATTTTCTTTTTCATTTTAATGTCCCTTTCTTATAAGTTAATTGCAGATGAAATTTTTTAATAATGAAAAGGTCAAATGATTAGTAAACATACTATATTGCTCAAATTCCTTTACCTAATTATATACAGGTGGCAATTCTAGAAATAGAATAAATAGCATGAGAAGAATGGCAAAATGGCTAGACAAGTTTCTAAAAAGTAACAGAAAATGGCAGTCTGTCATTCTTACATTCCATTGTTACTCCTTCCCCAAAGACTTATCTTGCACTCAGCAGAGATTCTCTTGAGAAATTTAACTCAGGTTGTTAAGGATGAGAAAAATATGTATATTCCAGTTAATATTATTGACTTATCCTGTGATATTATCAATGATATATATATGTATGTGTGTGTGTGTGTGTATGCACATTTAAATATTTTTTTTGGTTGCAGTTTGGCCGGGGCCAGGTTCGAACCCGCCACCCTCAGGATATGGGCACAGCAACCTCCAGCTCTTGGGCTTAGGCGATTCTCTTGCCTCAGCTTCCCGAGTAGCTGGGATTACAGGCGCCTGCCACAACACCTGACTCGAGCTGGTAGTTTCTTAATCATAGGTTCATATCAACCTTTTTCAGAACTTTCTGATATCTATGGTCCTCATACCATAGGATATATGTATCTACTGCTTTTGTTCTGTTTTATTATTATCCACAATTCTAAGATGAAATAATTCATTTGCTGAAATTTTCTTCTTTTTCTTAAAATTTCATTCTCTTCTTCAACAGAGCGTTTCTGCTTTACTTTTTAGAACTGAGTTCAAGATATAATAGTTGCTTTCTTTGCAGTGTGGTAAGAATGTGGTCTTGGAATCATCCAAGTCTAGATTGAAGTCTAGTGTCTAGCGGTGTGACTTTTGGTTCAAGTCTTCATTTCCTCTTCTGCAAAATAGGAGGTACTGGGAGGAATTAAGCACACACGGATATTAGTTATTAATTGTTTCCTTTGTCTTCTGAAAGAGGAAATTATCCTCTTAACCACGGTCGTCATTTTTTTTTTTTTTTGAACAAAAGGTTTTTATTGGTGGAGGAGGGAGGCTGCAGAACAGTAAGTACTAAGGAGGAGAGAAAAAGAGAAGAAGGGAGACAGATGAGGAGAGAATGGGGAGAGAGAGAGCAGAGGAGAAAGGCGGGGAGGGAAGGGAGAGGAAGAGAGAGAGAGAGATAGTCGATCATCTTGAAATGAATTCAAAGTCTAAGATATTTCCACTGTACGAAATTAGACTTCCAGCAAGTATTAGAATAGAAAGGTTCTGTCACTATCTCTTTCCTCTCCTATGCCAGCTTTAAAATTTATATTATGTTTAGTATCACCTGGCAATAACTTTTTCCTTTCGTCTTCATCCAAATGCTTTCTACCATTTTGAAGGAGCCTGTATGTAGCAGCTGGTGGAGCTTGTCCTGGAGAAGGATATGAATGTGACAGTTACCACTAAATACATAGATTTAAGGAGAGAAATAATGTGAGGGTAGGTAGGTGGTCAGTGCCAAGGGAGGTGTGAGGACAAGAAACTAATTAAATACATGGCAGGTTGGACTTCATGGCAGGAGACAATCATTGATAAAGAGATTAGATGAGAAGCCATTGTTAATAACTGTTAGTAGACAAGGATCAGCTGAATGATGGGCCAGACATTTCTTTTGAGATGCGAGATTTGATGAGCAAGCTTCAGGAATGACCTGAAATTAGATAGTATTCTGTGGGCCCCGCAGTTTGTTGAGGTTGCATTGATTTATACATTTCTGTACAAGTGTGTAACTATATTATACCTTTCCCTTTTTGTGGATTCATTAGATAGAATTATTTCTTCTGGACAAGGTTTTGTACCTGAGTGATTGATGTTAAGTTTGTTTCCTCTCTGTTAAGGAGCTATTTATTCAATGCCCACTGTATGCCAGATACCAACCATATCAGGCCTTTGTAGATTTCCTAGTTTTACACCATGGCTTCCTGACCTAAACTGTCTGCCATAGTATCACCTTTGGAGGAGGATACTTTGTTTTTTTCAGACATAAATTATCATCATATATTTATTGTTAGTTCTGTACTTCTTGGGAATATAGTGCATTGGTTAAGAGCACGTCTTGTGCCAAGACTGTGTTGGCATCCCAGCTTTATCTTACTAGCCGTGGAATTATAAGCAAGTTATTTAACTTCTCTGTGTCTTAGGTTCTCATCTGTAAAATGGGTCTGGTATAGTACCTTGTATAGAGTTTTGTGATGACTAAATACAGTAATATAGGAAAAAGTAGTTAGAGCCTGACACATCATAAGCTCTCAGGTATTAACAATAGTAATTTATGTGATAATTTCTGATTCTCATAGCCTTCCCTAAGCAGACATTTTGCCATGAGAAAGGTGAAGTTCAGAGAGAGTAAGTGACTTTAGAAGGTGATGTACTCACTAGATTTTTTTCTATTTATGAAGTATGAAAGAAGTAATTCTAATCTATAGTTTTCTGCTTGTCTGTTTCTCATAAGAATTACAAAAGTGGGGTGGTAGGTAGGGTGCCGGCCACATACACTGAGGCCGGTGGGTTCGAACCTGGCCTGGGCCAGCTAAAACAACAATGACAACTGCAAAAAAAAAAAAAAAAAAAAATAGCTGAGCATTGTGGTGGGTGTCTGTAGTCCCAGCTACTTGGGTGGCTGAGGCAAAAGAATCCTTTAAGCTCAAGAGTTGGAGGTTGCTGTGAGCTTTGACATCATGGCACTCTACCCAGGGTGACAGCTTGAGACTCGGTCTCAAAAAAAAAAAAAGGATTACAAAAGTATAATTAAAAGAGAGAGGGAAGCTTTACACAGGTGATGGTAATAATCATTCAGTAAGCATTGGAGTTCCTACTGAGTGCCAGGCCCTGTGCCAGGAGTTAAACACAGTCCTACTCTTAAGGAGTTGACAGGCTGGTTAGGAAAGCAGACAAGTAAATTGACAGAACACTCAGTGATACGTATTTTGATTAAGAACACATAGCATGAGACTTTTAACCCATATTTATTTCTAGTGGGTTATTTATGAAGTTGAGTTAGAGGAAGAAGTAAAGTCTGAGCTACTCTTAAAGCATGTACAAAGAGTGGGAAGAAGGGAAAGGTGTTTTCCAGGCAGAGAGGTGACACCTGGGCAAAGGCGTGCTCATATGGGAAGATCGTATTATTACATGCATTATGGTATTACTGTGGGGTCGAACCATATGAAATTGAGCTAGAGCCTCATTTTGTCACTCCTGGTAGGGTGCTGTGGCGTCATAGCTCACAGCCACATCAGGCTCTTGGGCTCAAGCAATTTCTCTTGCCTTAGCCTCTGAGCAGCTGGGACTACAGGTATCTACCACAACGCCCAGCTATTTGTAGAGTCACGATCTCACTCTGGCTCAGGCTGGTCTCAAACTCTAGAGCTTAGGTGATCCACCCGCCTGGGCCTCCCAGAGTGCTAGGATTACAGGCATGAGCCACCATGCCTGGCCCCCTGGAATGTATTTTTAAGAAGGTGGATGAATAGGGATAGAAAAATGATTAAACAGTAAAATGATAAAATGGTAGTGGTAGAATTTTTGTGGTTATAGAAGTGTTTACGAGAATGTTGTGGGTGAAATCACTGTGGAAAACAGTGAAGAATAGATTTGAAGATGGTTATCTTTGTAATTGATAAAAATGTTACTGCAATAGTTATACGTGGTCTATCCAGAAATCACCATATCAATTGTATCCCCTGTACGCATAGCAGAGCCTATAGCAGGTGGTCAGTAAATATTATAATGTTGAATATTCCATAATCTCTATAATCAATGAAAATGTTAAAGTTATGCTTGAACATAACTAACATGTTATACACATGCATTTATTCTAGAAGCTCTCATATGCGATGTATATATAAACTACATATTATATATGTAGTTTCATATAGTACAAATGTGCCTGTTGTGATAACAGTTAGGTAATTGGGTCACATCATGAATGGACCTTTTAAAGATAGGACAAAATTTTGAATTTTATACTTAGGTTTTATGTGCTTGACTAAAAGATCTTAAGCAGCGGCTGTGATACAGAAATGCTGAGAATGATCATATATAAAGGAAGTGAATTGGGATGGACCTAGATTTTATTCCCCCAGATGAATTCTTTAGAATTGCTGATGGAAGTGCTGCAATCCCATCTGTTGTAAATGTGATTCATGAAATGATTTTGCTTCTCTTCCTAAAAATGAGAAGATTTTGAGGAAAGTTTCAAGTGTTTGGAGTCTCTTAAGAACTTAAAAACTTCCCAGAGAAATAAGTACTGATGGCTTCTTTTTGTCATTAATAAAAATGTTTCTGTAGGAAATCTGTTATCTAGTTAGTTGTGCTAGTGTTTTTCTTTTCCGTTTTGGTTTTTCCTTTTTTGTATAATAAAAGGCAAGTCAATCCCTATTTATCATCTGCTGTTTCCAGCAGAGACTTCTCTTTTTATAGTAGCTTTCTCTAGAAAGGAAAATCATTTCATTGTACTTTCCTTGTCACCTTGTTTCCTCACATTCCCTTTTATTTCTCCTATTGACCTAAAAAGAGTGTATTTAAATGTTAATGGCTAATCTTGTAGGTATGCCACGGGCTAGAAAAGATTTTTTTTCTTTAATTTCATAGGAACTTGACAATAATGGATTTTGAGGTAGGACTGAGCATGAGATAAGTGGAGGTTTGTGAGGTTTAACCACCAGTTAACTACGAATTAGTAGTCCTGTTTTTAAAATCTAATTCATGGCTAGGGGCCTGTAGCTTAAGCAGCTAGGGCACCAGCCACATACACTGGAGCTGGTGGGTTCAAATCCAGCCCAAGCCTGCCAAACAATAATAACAACTACAACCAAAAAATACTGGGCGTTGTGGCAAGTGCCTGTAGTCCCAGCACTTGGGAGGCTGAGGCAAGAGAATTGGTTAAGCCCAGGAGTTGGGGGTTGCTGTGAGCTGTGATATCACAGTACTCTACCTAGGGTGACAGCTTGAGACTGTCTCAAAAATAAATAAATAAATAAAATCGAATTCATATCTATATGTAAATTGGCAAAGGTTTTTCTTTTAGGTCACATAATGGCTTTGGAATACATATGTAATGACCTTTGAGATGTATACTGGTAGAAGAGATTATTGATTATAAGCAGTGGAATTTAAAATTTCTTAACCACAGAAAGCAATCTGGGTCCAAGAGAAAGTAGTTGTTAGATGGATAGATCATTATTGAGAAAATTACTATAAACCATATTATTTCCTTTAACGTCTTTATAAATCCTTTATGTACTAAACTTTGACATTAACCGATCTTTCATATTGATGTAAAGAAAGTCTGAATCTTTCTCACCAATTCTTTGCACAAATATTTTATTATACAGAATTGAGTTTGCATGAGTTTGCATGTGAATTTTTTTAGGTTTTTTATATGTCATCAAGGATAAACATGTGATATTTTCCTATTTTATTCTTAAGTAATTTCCTATGAATTTTAAGGAACAAAATTTCCTGTAGTACAAAATTTCTTATTTTTTCCTAGATGTACTTGAAGGATACAATGGAACAATATTTGCATATGGACAGACATCTTCTGGGAAGACACATACAATGGAGGTAGCAACATTTTATTACCTGTGGTTTGATGTCATATATCCATTCATTTATGAAATTATTTTACCATGCTTAAACATCTTTATTTACTCTTTATTGCTTTTCTTATACATGTACAAATAATGTACAGGTAATATCATTGTTCAAGTGTAATCAGTTCCTGTGTTTGAGATTACATACAGCTTTGTTTTATTGGTTAGAATTAAACATGAGCTTTCTGCCACCTGTTATGTAGGGAAATTTTGAATGCGTATAGTGTTGTTGATTCTGTTCAGAATGATTGTTTTCCTCTTCTTGGATCTTCCTCCCCCAAATACTTGTATTATTCTCTCATAAGAATGTTGCTGTTAATAGTAGATGTGGACCTGCTCTAGCTTTGCTTCTAGAAAAAACCTGGGATGATCTGCCACTACATACAGAAGAAATGACTGCTTATTTTATTGTGATTCATATTACCCATTTTCACAGTTTTAGAGAGTAAGGACATTGTTAGCACTTGTCTGAGTTTGACATGAAATAGAAGGAATAATGTAGATTAATGTGGAAAGGAATTCAAACTCTCTTGAACATTTTCATTTTATAAAGCAGTAGTCTAGGCTGGGCGCGGTGGCTCATGCCTATAATCCTAGTACTCTGGGAGGCCTAGGTGGGTGGATTGCTTGAGCTCACAGGTTTGAGACCAGCCTGAGCAAGAGTAAGACCTCATCTCTAAAAATAGCCAGACACGTGGCAGGTGCCTATAGTCCCAGCTACTGGGGAGACTGAGGCAAGAGCATCGCTTAAGCCCAAGAGTTTGAGGTTGCTCTGAGCTATGACGCCCAGGCACTCTACTGAGGGCAACAAAGTGAGGCTCTGTCTCAAAAAAAAAAAAAAAAAAACAATAGTCTAAATCTAAATCTAGTGGTTATTAAATAAAGAGTTAATATAAATTGGTAACCCATGTATTTCACATGTCATCATTGAATTGGGTTTTTTTAGGCATTTGTAGAGTGATAGCATCAAAAATAATTAAGATTCCTATTCTTTAATGACTATAAATTGCAGATTTCAAGTTTTTGTTTTTAGTTCATATTTTGTAATTTGTTTAAGAAATCTAGTTTTCTCTGTTTAGGGTAAACTTCATGATCCAGAAGGCATGGGAATTATTCCAAGAATAGTTCAAGATATTTTTAATTATATTTACTCCATGGATGAAAATTTGGAATTTCACATTAAGGTAAGTTCTTTGGGGAAAGATTGTATTTTATTTTTTACCTAGAATAACTAAATACTAATTTCTTTCTTAAAGTAATTTTAAAAATTATTTTTGTGGACAGGCATAACTGAAAGATCATTAGGCTTAGTAAACATGGTTTCTTGTTCATCTGCCCTTAGATGACCTTAAGTATAAGTTAGCCAAGTCTTTCTTGTCTTTATCCTCTTTCTCCGTAAAGGAGTTTGCTTTACTACAGAACTCAAAGATTCCTACTTTAAGTCTTCTGATTCATTTAGATGAGGTATGTAATGGAAATGACTCTTTTAGTAATTTAGGCAGTTTGCTAATTTATGTCTTCCCATTAGAATGTGAGCTATGGCTGGTATGTTGATAACTCTTAGTCTGGACAGGGCTTAGGCGATTCTCTTGCCTCAGCCTCCTGAGCAGCCAGGACCACAGGTGCCCGCCACAACACCGGGCTTTTTGTTGTTGTTGCAGTTTGGCCGGGGCTGGGCCTGAACCAGCCACCGTTGGTATATGGGGCTGGCACCCTACCCACTGAGCCACCGGTGCTGCCCTGAACTGGTCAGTCTTAATGCTCTTATTTATAAAATGTGGGTGGTAGAGGTCATGGACTTAAAATTCTGTAATTTTACTTTTCTGGCACATATACCTCAGTAAATATTTACTGAATAAGCTATTTTTTTAATTTTATAATTTGAATTGGTTGACCTCATTTTACTTTTTCATTTGTTTGCCCTTTAGGTTTCATATTTTGAAATATATTTGGATAAGATAAGGGACCTATTAGATGGTAAGTTAAATTCTTGCTCTTTGATCAGGTTTTTTTCTTTTTTCTGTTGAGAAAGAGTCTCACTACATTGCCTTCCATAGAATACCGTGATGTCACAGCTCACAGCAACCTAAAACTCTTGGGCTTAAGCATTTCTCTTGCCTCATCCTCCCAAGTATCTGAGACTACAGTCGCCTGCTACAACGCCCAGCTATTTTTTTTTTCTTTTGGTTGTAGTTGTTATTGTTGTTTGGCAGGACCAGGTTGGGTTTGAGCCCGCCAGCCTCAGTGTATGTGGCTGGCACCCTAGCTGCTGAGCTGTAGGCACCCAGCTTTTGATCAGGTTTTTTGTTGTTGTTGGATTTTTTTGTTTGTTTGAAACAGAGTTGCCCTCAGTAGAGTGCTGTGGCATCATAGCTCACAGCAACCTCAAACTCTTTGGCTGACGTGATACTTTTGCCTCAGCCTCCTGAGTAGCTGGGACTACAGGCACCCACCACAACGTCTGGCTATTTTTTGTTGTTGTTATAGTTGTCACTGTTGTTCAGCAGGCCGACACTGGGTTTCCTGCCAGCCCTAATGTATGTGGCTGGCGCCGTAACCACTGTACTATGGGTGCTGAGCTGGTTTTGTTTTTTTGAGACAAGCTGTTAATCCGTTGCATGGCTAGAGTACAGTGCCATGTTTATAGCTTTTTACAACCTCATCTGGGCTCAAACAGTCCTCCTATTTAGCCTCCCAAGTAGCTGGGACCACAGGTGTGCATCACCACAGCCGGTGATTTTTCTTTGTTTCTCAGGGTGGTCTTCAACTCCTGGGCTCAAGTGATCCTCCCACCTTGGCCTTCCAGGGTGTATGACCCACTGTTCCTGGCTCCATTTCTTCATTTTTTTTTTTTAATTTTTTTTTTTTTTTGGAGAGACAGAGTCTCACTTTGTCGCCCTTGGTAGAGTGCTATGGTGTCACAGCTCATAGCAACCTCCAGCTTTTGGGCTTAGGCAATTCTCTTGCCTCAGCCTCCTGAGTAGCTGGGACTACAGGCACCCGCCAAAACGCCTGGCTATTTTTCAGTTGCAGTTTGGCCGGGGCTAGGTTTGAATCCGCCACCCTTGGTATATGGGGCCAGTGCCCTACCCATTGAGTCACAGGTGCCACCCTGTTTCTTCATTTTTAATAGTAGATGTGAGACCATTTTTTGATACCTATATGAAATTGTCTTAAATTGTAGAAAATGGACATTTAAATTTTTTTTTAAGTTTTAGATATCTGCCTTTTGATATGTAGAATAATTTGCTTAAAGCCCACATTATGAATGCCTTTTAAGTAGTTATTAGAACATTGGAGTGGGAGTTAGAGAACTTGAGTCCCGAGTTCTAGTCTTCTGTGAGCTGCCAATTAAATACATTGTGTGTGGGCATTGCCCAAGGGTAGTATGAGTATACATTGTCCAAGGACGGTGTATTTAATAAGAGTAAACTGCTCAGTCTTTTTTTTGTTGTTATTGTAGAGACAGAGTCTTACTTTATGGCCCTCAGTAGAGTGCCATGGTGTCATACGGCTCACAGCAACCTCCAACTCCTGGGCTTAGGCGATTCTCTTGCCTCAGCCTCCTGAGCAGCCAGGACCACAGGTGCCTGCCACAACTATATTTTTTTTGTTGCAGTTTGGCCGGGGCTGGGCCTGAACCAGCCACCGTTGGTATATGGGGCTGGTGCCCTACTCACTGAGCCACAGGTGCTGCCCTGAACTGCTCAGTCTTATTTATAAAATGTGAATGGTAGAGGTCATGGACTTAAAATTCTGTAATCCTACATTGTTTTCTGTTTAAATTTCCTACTACATCTACAAGGTCTGCTTTAATAGTATTGATTTTATATTTTGTTAAAGTGCATGGATTGCTATTCTGCTTAGGAAGCAGTTGAATTATTTAGTTTACAGCTAGTGTTATAGTTGAAGAGAATGTTGCTAATATTTATTTTTCTTTACAGTTTCAAAGACCAACCTTTCAGTTCATGAAGACAAAAACCGAGTTCCCTATGTAAAGGTACTTGGAAGATAATATAAAACAGTTTAGAAAAGCCATGTAGTAAATTTTTTAAAGGGTATTAACATATTTTTCTTAATTTATTTCACAGGGATGCACAGAGCGTTTTGTATGTAGTCCAGATGAAGTTATGGATACCATAGATGAAGGAAAATCTAACAGACATGTAGCAGTTACAAGTAAGTAGAGTGTTTTTAACACTGAGGGTAGAGTATAAAAACAGCCTTAAAAATATCCTTATTGAGTTGATTTAAGTGTAAATTTTTTTTTTTTAATGTAAACTAATGCTTTGGGGAACTTTATTATTAAGTGAAAGCCATGTTTATTAATAGTTATTTGTTTAATTTCATTCCAGATATGAATGAACATAGCTCTAGGAGTCACAGTATATTTCTTATTAATGTAAAACAAGAGAACACACAAACGGAACAAAAGCTGAGTGGAAAACTTTATCTGGTTGACTTAGCTGGTAGTGAAAAGGTAAAGTCTTTATTCTGATAAATATTTAAGTATTTCTGTAAACTTTAGCTTGAATTGTGACTTATGAAGTATTCATTATTACATCTTGAAAATTTACATAATTGGGTTTTGTAATCTGAGGGTTACAACTCCTGATACCAATACTTTGTGATTATATAAACTGAATAATCAGTTCCAAATTACTCCTATTTGACCATAGTCCAGTTAAGCCAAGAGTTGCTACTTTTTACTTAAGATGTATGTTTTTATTGAGGACTAGTTTGTCCATATGTCATTAAGAATTTTATTAGATATCCTTTTCCTAATTTTTGGTATCTATTTTATCTATATTAGCAGTGAGCTTCCTGTTAAGACTCGTAAATATTCATTAACCCTTTCTGGGGTTGGTTATACATAATACTTTTCTTTTGATGATTATTTATTACAGTTCTGTACAATATGATTCTAGTTTATATTGAAAACAGAGTAAGTTTGAATGTTTTAATATAGACCTCTGTGACCATTTTTGCTGTTGTGCTAATTTTGTTTCTCCGCTTAGAATGATGTTGCCTATTTCATTCTATGCAAAAGTCTTACACTCATCTTTCAAATATTGTCTAATCCTGCAACTTCTTAGAAGCCATCTCTTCAGTCAGCATTGCTTGTTTACTAGTCTAATTTACCTTTAACAAAGGTATTGAGCCATTTTGTATTTTTTAAAAAGAAACAAGTTTGCTTATATGTGTTTAGACTCAAGTTCTGTCTTTATAGTTACAACATCAACATAATGAATTTGCAAAAATTAGAGATTTTTCTAATACAGCAAAAGGGACTAACAAATAAATGAACTATAAAATTTACATGTAAATTGGTTATTTTCAAGAGCATCCACACATTAAAAATAACATTTGCTGTCTCTTTAATCACAGTCTTGTCATATAGGTAGTTGCTTGACAGAGTTCTTAGAAGAGTGGTGCTCAAGAAATAGCATCTTAAAGTAAATGTTTGGCAGTTGTTAATAACATCACGAGGCTTTCATGTTCTTTCTTTTTTACTGGTTATTGTTGACCTATGAATTTTTTAGAAAATTTAAAGAAAGTTCTTTTAAACTTGACATTTTATTTTACTTCTTTTAAAATCTTTTGTGTAGGTGAGTAAAACTGGAGCTGAAGGTGCTGTGCTGGATGAAGCTAAGAACATCAACAAGTCGCTTTCTGCTCTTGGAAATGTCATTTCTGCTTTGGCTGAGGGTAGTGTGAGTATACTTGTTTTCTATTTCACTGTTATCTGAGTGGGGACTATTTAAATACAAATGTATAGTTGGGCATGGTGGCTCATGTCTGTAATATTAGCACTCAGAGAAGCTGAGGTGGGTGTATTGCCTGAGCTCATGCGTTTGAGACCAGCCTGAGCCACAGTGAGATCTCATCTCTAAAAAGAGCTTTTTTGGGCTCAGCACCTGTAGCTCAGGGCACTAGCCACATACACCAGGGCTGGCAGGTTCGAACCCAGCCTAGGCCTGCCAAACAACGACAACTACAAAAAAAAAAGTAGAAAAAGTAGCTGGGTGTTGTGGCAGACACCTGTAGTCCCAGCTACTTGGGAGGCTGAAGCAAGAGAATTGCTTGAGCTCAAGAGTTTGAGGTTGCTGTGAGCTGTGATGCTATGGTACTCTACTGAGGGCAACAGAGTGAGACTGTCTCAAAAAAAATTATTTTTTGCAGTTTTTGATCAGGGCTGGGTTTGAATCCGCCACCTCTGGCATATGGGACCAGCGCCCTACTCCTTTGAGTCACAGGTGCCACCCCCCCAAAAATGTTTTTTAAACAAATATAAATGTACAGGTATCAGTTATCTGTGAATTATATGTTATTTCAGAGTTTATTTTATAGTAATTAGCACATATCCTACTTCTCATCTTAATATCAAGCAGTTAAAACAGCTGAAATAATTTTTTATTTAAGTAGCATACTTAATGAATTTTATCTTTCAGAAAACCACTGATCTTCTATCTTTTCTTTCTTTGTTTTTGTATATAGACGTATGTTCCATATCGAGATAGTAAAATGACGAGAATTCTTCAAGATTCATTAGGTGGCAACTGTAGAACCACTATAGTAATTTGCTGCTCTCCATCATCATACAATGAGTCTGAAACAAAATCTACACTCTTATTTGGTCAAAGGTTTGTGAAGAAAATACAAAACCTAAATGTATTTATTAATGTCAGATAGCTGTTATTCAAATCAGTGCATATTGTTAGTTTGCTAAATGTTCATTTTTAAGTGAAAGATAGTACAAGCAAGGTCCATTTTTTAGGTTGCTTGGTTTACGTTTTGGTATGTGTTAAAGTCAAATGTTAACTTTAGTCAAATTGATACGACAATCTTTAATTCAGCATTAAAGAATATAAGCGTTTAAATCAAATGATAAAGTAAAAGCCTGGCAGACCCAATCCTATGTTAAGCATGTTGATATAGTGACAAGTTCAAATAATCTTTAAGGTGGTTATTCTAGGAAAATCAATAATTTATCTTTGGCCTTCAACAATAATATTTTTTTCTTAATTTAGCCTTCCAAACAAATTGGAAAAATACAGTCCCTTGGTTTTTATCTTTAGTGGATATTCCTTTTTAAAAAAAAACTATTTAGAGATTTTGTAGATAACTCAAATTTAGTTGAATTATGAAAAAGCACATTATAACTTTTTAACATTTAATCTAAGAGATAACTGGACAAGAATAGTGAAATCACACAGCCGTATATTCATATATTACATACAGATGTCAGTTAAAAATAATTTCAGTCACATCTTTTTTCCCCTCCAATTACATCTCTTAGGGCCAAAACAATTAAGAACACAGTTTGTGTCAATGTAGAGTTAACTGCAGAACAGTGGAAAAAGAAGTATGAGAAAGAAAAAGAAAAAAATAAGATCCTGCGGAACACCATTCAATGGCTTGAAAATGAACTCAACCGATGGCGTAATGGTAATAACTTAAGAATTTGTCATCTTAGGTTTGTTGAATAAGAGAGCTAATTTTTTAAATTTGAGATTTTGATAGGATTATAAATGAAGATAATAGGTCAGGTACAGTGGCTCACACCTATAATCCCAGCACTTTGGGAGGCCATCGTGGGAGGATTACTTGAGTCCATGAGTTTGAGATCAGCCTGAGCAACATAGTGAGACCCCCTGTCTCTACAAAAAAAATTTTAAAAGTAGCCAGGTATGGTGTGTGTCCTAAATAGGTGGGAGGCTAAGGTAGGAGTATGAGGTTATTGTGAGCTGTGATTGTGCTACTACACTATAGCCTGGGCAATAGAGCGAGACTCGTATCTAAGAAAAATGTATATATAAACAAGAAAAAAACTAAGAAAGCATATCCATTTGTCACTTTTTATGCATTTAGGGATCATTAAAAATGAATAAAATCTTTTACATTAAATTTTGATTTTACCTGAAATAAGAAGTATAGAGGCCCAGAGGCCAATTAGGAAGTCAGAAGACAGTAAAGCACTCAGATTAGTGTGGAAACAGTAAAATGACAAGATTGGTGACTAAGTATAGAAGAACGTGGAGAGCAAAGATAATTTTAACTGTTCAAATCTCAAGGACTGAGCAGATAAGAATGTTGATAAGAGAGCAAGACAGAGCAGGACTGCAGAATAGGATTCTCTAGAGATCGTACCATGCAGAAACTTCTGCTTGAATAACTACCTAATCCATGCAGAAAAATAACCTTTACAAAAGCAAGGAAAACCAGGTAAGCTGTCAAAGTACATGGCTGTGGTACAACAATAAGATACATTGAAGAGGCTCGGCGCCTATAGCTCAACCAGCTAAGGCGCCAGCCACGTACACCTAAGGTGGCGGGTTCGAATCCCCAGCCCGGACCCGCCAAACAACAATGACGGCT